AGTTTACATTTTTATACATATATGATATTAATTAATAAAAATGTTATTTATTACTATTTTTTATATTAAGATTTATTTAGATTTAATAATTTTTTATTTTATTTCTTTATATATATTAGTATATAAATTCAAATATTTTAAAAAATAGTCTTTTTTATTAATTTGAATCTATTTAAATTTAAATGTTATTTATAATTTAACTAATTTATTAATGTAATAAATTACATTAAATTATTTAAATTAATAATAGATTATATAATAATATTTAAAAAAAACTAAAAGATTATATGTATAAGTTATTAAATTTTAAAATGATTATTAATTTAGTAATATATATTGAAAATTTAATGCATTTTAAAGAATTTAATTACAGATATTAAATTAGAATAAATATGAAATTTTTTATAGATATTGAATAAATAATTTTATAGTTATAAAATAAAAAGAAGGTTTTTAAAAGATATAAATCTAGATTAAAATAGTTTAATCCAAAATGTTATATAAAAAAACTAATATAATTAATAATAATAAAAATAATTAAGTAATTATAAATATATATAAAACTAAAAATATAGCAAATATAAATAAATAATTTATTATTCTAAAAAGATATTTAAATTAAAATATAATAGTTAGAGTTATTAGGTGAAATTTAGAAGTTTTGTAAGTTATCTAAATAGTAAAAGGTAAAATTTAGTAAAATTATATTAAAATCTTATTAAAAAATCTGTAAAACTCTAAAAAAAAATATGTATTAAAGCTTATAAAATGCAAAATTATATCAAAATCTTAATAAAAAATTGTGAAATTAAAGTTTAAACATTTTGTCAAATCATAAATTAATTTAAACAAATGATTTTAATAATAGTTATTATATAAAATATTAAATTTTTTAAAAAATTATAGTATTATAGTATTGATATTTTATTTATTAAAATTTTTTTTTACTATTTGGTTATATTTAATAAATAAAATAATTAAATAGCTAAATTTTGGCTAAATAATTAAATATAAATAAATATATTAAAATTTTATTAGTATTTTCTATAATCAAGATTTTTTTTTTTTTAGTTATTTAGTTATTAAATTGATCAAATAATTAAAAGCTAACACTATAATATAGATATTTTACAGTAGAAAGGAAAAAAACTACAAAAAATTTTTTTTTATTTTATAAGTTAAATATTATTTTTTTAGTAAAATAAATTTAGATTTAACATTAATTTTTTTAATAATTTTTCTTTTTTTACTATAAAGTACCTATATTATTATATAATCACATAATCATAAATAAAAAATATAATATTAAAAGTAAAATTAGCAATTTAATAATATTTTAGATAATATAATTATAAATAATTTTTATATTAATTTTTTAAATTACTAGTATTTACCTGTAATATAAAAATAAGTAGAAGGTTTTTTTTTACATAAAAGAGTAAAATAAAGATAAAGAAATAAATAAAATAAATTAAAGTAAAAAAATACTTGCAATTACTTTTGTTAATATATTTATACTAAGCTATTTATTTATTAAAAATTTATTATAAGATAAGTTCTTTTACTATTTCTCACTCATTTACATTTATAAACTATTTCTATATATATAAAAATACATCTTAATAATAATAAATTAAATAAATTAAATAAAATAATGAAAAAATTAAAAATAAATAAAATAATTAAAATACTTAAATATTAAAAATAAAATAAATTAATTAAATGATTAAATTTTAAAAATAAAAAATGCAAATTATTTATCTATTTAATTTGATAATGAAAATACAAATCCTTTTATTATTATATAAAATTAATCTTACTCTTTAAATTTTATAAATTATTTTAATTTTTTTTAAGTATTTTTAAAGTGTAATCCTTGAGAATTATAACAGTTAGATAGGATGTTTGAGTGGTAATTCTTTTAAGTTTACAAAGTAATTCAATTTAGTTTAATTCAAGTTTTATAATTTACATAGTAGTGTATTCTTAACAAAACTAAAAGCAAAACAGCTCAATTGATTCAGGGGTATAATAATATATTTTATTTTCGATAAATAATAAGAAAATAAAAAATAAGAAAGAATAAGAAAATTAAAAGAGTTAAAGTACTAAATGCGAAGGTTAAGCAAGGCGTCTCTAAAAGAACTACTATATATTTATCTAAAAGTAAAACTAAAAAGAAAACTAAAAGTGAACTAAAGTTTACATGATTTTATCATTCTCTATTTATACTAAATTTAATACATAGATAAATATAATAAATAAATCAAATATGTTTAATATGTCTTATATGTAAAATATATCTAATATATTTAGTATATCCGTTATATCAGATATATTAAATATATCTGATATATTTGATATTTAGATCTGCAATATACTACACTACATTAGTCAATTCAGTCCTATTTATAGATGCCTGCCGAAACCTCCTCAAAATAATTTCGTCATACCTTTTCTATGTTTTTAATATAGTTTTAACAGTTTTGGCTTTCGTCGTATCGAATGGATTTCGTCATATCTCTTATTATGATTTAAATATAGTTTCGTTTAAGTTTTGACTGTTATTAAGGGATTTCATCCTTTATCTATAGTCCTGTTATAATATAATATGATCTTATAATTATTTAAGAATTAAATAATAAAACTTTATAGCTTTTAATATAAATTAATTTAAAAATAAAAATATAATATATTATTAGTAACTAATATAAGTTTTATTTTAAATAGCATAATAAATATTAAAGTATAGTAAATGTTATTCTGGAGTTCATCTATTATATTTAATAATTAATTATATATTTTTTAGTATAAGTAATTTAATGATAATACTAAATATTATTTTTGATTAATTTTTACTAAAGATAGTTTTCATAATTATTTTCAAATTTCAATTGAGTTGCAACTTAATTGCGCTATAAGAAAATTTAATTGCATCACAAGTTGTAACTCAATTGCATCATTTTTTAATTATAATGATCATCTTTAATTCTTACACTTTTTAAAATAATTTTATAATTATTATAATGCAAAAAAAAATCATATATTTTTTAGATAACTTATATAAAAATATCAGTTAATATTTAATAAATGCTAAATTTTAAATATTATAAACTTGTAAAAATAATAGAAATATAAATAAAAAATTAATTTTTTTAAGATTTATTATTTATAAATAAATATAAATTTATAAATAGTTAAAACTAGTGATATTAAAACTAATATAACTAATATATTAGCTATAGCTAAAAATTTTACATTTACTCACTATCAATTTAATCTATATAAATAATAAATTTAGATTAGCTAATATATATATACATTAATTTTTAGTTAATTAAATTATATATAATACAAATATTGTAAATTACTTTTAGAGAAAAATAATTTCAGTTTTATTTATATTAAAATAATTATAAGTAGTTTAATTTATATAAGTAAATTCTAATATCTTTTTTTTATAAAAGAATTTTAATTAAAATAAATTCTAAAATAGTGAAATAAATCAAATTATATAAATCACTTTTAGAAGAAATTATAAGAAATATGAGTGATAATAATAAATTAATAATATTTATAAAAAGATCCTTTTGATAAAATATGTTAGCAGTTAAAAACTTTTACATTAATCAAATTAAATAAATAAAGATATTAAAAAACTGAGTTAAAATTAAATTAAAAGCTAAGTTTAATTTAAAATTAAGTAAAAGAAATCTTTTAAATACTCTAAGGTATATTAATATTTATACAAATTTCTAATAATGATATAATAAAGATAAACCTGAAACTAATGCCTTAATTCTTAATGGTAAAAAAAAAATTTAAATTAACTTCAATATAATTTTAAAAATAAGATAAAATATAAATGCAATGTTACAAAAAAAAGTAATTTCTAATATTAAACCTTTAGTAAATATAAGTACATTACTTTTAGCAAAAATCTAGTAAAATTACTTCTCTAAAAAGGACAATAAAAATACTAAACATATAAAATTCTTATGAATAATATTACTTTAATGCAATTTTTGCTATTTTATGTATTTATGATCAATGAATAATTCTTTTATCTGTGTATAACATAAAGAAATTTCATTTAATAAGAATATGATTAATGTTGAATTCATAGATTTAAAAGATCTTGTCTTAATCCATTATGCCTTAAATTTTTCAAAGAAATGTAATAAGGTTTGGAATGTTATTACTTAGTATTCATAGAAATCTTATAGCTAATGTCAGATTTAATACGAATTACTTCACAAATAAATTTATCTCATTATCTATAATAGAAAAATATTTAACTAATAAAATAAGAACTTTTAACATAATCGCAAAAAAGTTATTAGCAAATCCTATTGTAATTAATTTTATCTGAGAAATTATATTTAATGATGTAACTACTATTTGTTGTAAGACTATACAATTACATTCTATAATAATAGATAGTAAAACAAATTGTTCAGTTATCTTGTTGATAAAATAAAAAAACCTGCTGTAAAATGATGTAATAATTTTTTATTTTTAATAAACTCAAGAGTCGATACCCGCGAATCTAGAAAAATCTGGTAGAAATATTAACTCCGAGCAACAGAAAAATATCACGTGCGCGTTCCGAAACGGAACGCCGATCACATTTTTCTGGTGCAAATGATCATATCATACATAAGTTAAAAAGCACGACATAGATTAAATATAATGTAACGGGCATTCACAAAGGAATGCGCGATAATGGTGGTAAGAATATGGGAGGTTTGCTATTAAAATCACCTTACGGATCATAGGCTCGTAATTCGATTTTAATAGCAAACCTTCATTTGATTGCGGTTGTGGAGATGGAGATGGTGATGGTGATGATGTGGAGCCTATGTTGCGTACGTACGCAAAAGTTAATTAGATAACATGATTTGATTTGACCATTCATAATAATAAAGATCTAAAGCATATAGGATATAACTTACGGGCTGATTTCTACGACGCTTCCTTGATGAAGACCCATATTGTAATTAACTCGCCTCTGATTTCGTAGATTTCACTCTTGGCTTCGGTGGTACAACTATTTTTCTTTTGGCTTTTCGCTGAGAATTTTGTGATCCTGAAGCATCATCTGCAATTTCACCATCAGGACCACTATTATCTACGTTTATAGGTCCCCATCTAAATGTTCACCATAATCTTCATCAAAGCCTCTATCTAAATCTCACCGTGAATCAGAACTATTATCTGATTACAGGATCTTCATCGACCATTTACTGGAGGATCCAGTAAGATTAGCCTTATCTTTCATCTATTCAGAAAGAGCGGAAAGAATGCACCCTTTCAGCTTCATATTCTGAGAGGTTACGTCTCTATGAGAATAAAATATACTGCATTAGATCAGACCTTTGCATCACAGAAGAATAGCGAAATAAAAATTATGCACCTTATTATACTCCTGAATGATTCCTTCCCAGTACCTCTCCAAATCTTTATCGCGTCGTAAACGTTCTGTTATAGACGAAGATTAATGATATGTGATTTTTATTTAGTAATAAAGAAAGGTAGCCAGGTTCTAAAACCAGCAGACCTTTATTAACGACAAAGTTAGGGTGCCTGAATTGAGGACTTGGAGTGGTTACCAAGTGGTCAAACCTCTGAGTCAGAACGGATCATCATAGGAGTTACCCTCTATTTGCAAAATAAAAAACGCACCTTTTTATCCAAAGCATCAAAAGTGACTTTATCTAACTACTCAGCTTCTTTCAAAATTTAAGTTATCGAGATCCTGCCAAAACGTTGCTGAAGATTCTATCGTCGAAGTTACTATAATGTCTCGTCAAACGTGATTAGCAACCCAGAACGATTTTTTTTCGATAATTTTTAAGATATTATACGAGTTCGTTGTAACCAGGGTTGTGAAATTTATATGTACTATATATAATTGACACTGTACTTGTTCTGTACTTGTACTAATTTTTATATTAATTATTATATTGTACTAATTGTACTAATCCCAACCCTGGTTGTAACCATTGTTACTTGAATAATATCAGAGATTTTCTTAATATTTATTAGTTGCTATATTATACAAAAGTTTGAGAGTGAAGTAAAAAATATACGCGTTGTCTCGTAACATTTTTTTGCAGTATGTGATTTCTTATTTGTCACATATTATATGTCACTGGGATTATCAATTCCTTTTATTGTATAAAATACCGATCAGATTATTCTAGATTTTTCTAATATTTAATTGTGCCGGAGACAATTTTTGGCGACGATCTTTTTGTCACGTAATACGAAATTACCAATAAAAATTTAGGATTTTGTGTAATTAAAGGAGGATGCCATGCGATAAATTTTTTTTGTTCTTTGAAATAAAAATTCACAAAGAAACTTTTAGATTGTTCTCTTCAGATTTTACAAAAGATAAGTATAATATACTGTTTTTTTTTTTTTATTATAATTATCTTACTAATCATCCATTATCCTTTCAATGTTTTCAGGTAATCTACGATGCGATTTATACTTATTAACAGCCCATTCGGCAGTCCTGTTCTCTAGCCTTTTATAATATGCGTCTATATACCTCCACGACTTACGTGCAAACTTACGAATGGTTGTTATAGGGATGCTATCAAGAGTCTTTGGAATATTTTCCAATAAGTTTGCATAGTTGTAACTACATAATCCTCTAATTTCCCATTTCACAAAGCCCCAGTACCGCTCTATAACGTTATAATGCTGCGCTACTAAATAAAAATGACAAAGAAGTTTTAAAAAAAATGCCATGCTAGAATTGTTGAAGCAAGAATCAAAATTATAATAAAACTCAAGCGACCTTAAGAAAAAATTGTGGTGAGACGGGGTGGTATACCCAGCAAAAAGTAAGTCACGGATGAGTGATTTTATACGATCCAATGCTCTGCAAATTTTTTTTTCGTAATAAATTTTGTTTCGGAATTTACACTAGTTTCGAGATCGAAATCCTTGCTCTACTTTGGACGAAAGCAATATACAACGTCAGCTATATCACAACTAGAAGTTTATCCTTAAAAGGGTATTCAATAAGTCATTAAAGAAACAGTTGTTATATTCAACATCGTTGGTAATTTACTTTTATTTTTTGTATTATCGGTATTTAACTCGTTGTTTAACAATAAATGCTATGTAAAAAGAATCGGGGAGTACTGTCTAAAAAAGGAAAAGCAACATATTACTTCATCAAGCGTTTTATCCATACTTTGATGACATTGAGAACAGCTTGCGCATCGCACAAAAATATTATAGTGAGCACAGTTCTGGTAAAATGGCTCTCAAATTCATAGATTAGAACTCTGAAAAATAATCGATATTTTTTGCAATACTTATTTATGTAAAACTTTTCCATAATAATAAAATTAAAATAATCTTTCAGAAGTTGGGATCGAGTAGTCTTGCTTTAGTTTGTAACTAGAACACCACATTTTCGTCAATAATCTAGCTTTTTTACCCTTTTTGAAAACAAAAAATAATATTTAGCGGAACACAATCCTGCAGAAAATGCATTCTATTAAAAAACATGACATCTAAAAATAGGTGTTTATATTTTTTTTTTTTGACAATCCGAAAGATCTTGTTCAAATATGATCTACAATTTGATTGAGTAAATCATTTGGAGACTACTGAATGATCTACTTTATAATTTTAAGGTTAAAAACCAATTAATAATTCACGGATATGAATAAAAAAAAAAAAAAGACATCATTAAGAGAATCTTTTATTGGAAGAATGTAAAAACCCGCTTCATTCAAAATAAAAATAATTAATTTATCGAGAAAATCAATACTCATGCGGTAGCGAGAAAATAACATAAAGCTCGTGTAACATAAATCATTTCTCCAATTACGACGATTTTTTTTTTTGAATTTAATATTCCTCGAGTCTCTGTTTTGTCACACCCACCATTGACGCATAATTACAGATTTCTCATAATGAAATCTTATCTCCTATGCAAATAAATGGAAAAAGATGTCATTTATAATAAAAGGTTTTTTAAAGTTCAAGAACTGTTCATGAGACTCGTATCTAACGTTAATAATTACAAAAATATATATTAACACAATATTAATCAATTAAAATTTTTCTATAATAAATCTTTTGTAAAATTGTGACTCTAAATCGTTACCAATATATCCATATCAAGTTACCTCAAAATCTAGCAAAACAATATAAATAAGTTGAGGTTTTTTCTTTCTGCAATGTACTGTACATAAAACACTTTTTCCAACATTTCCATATAATAATAATTATATAAAATATGTATCAAAGATATCAAAGAAGACAAGACCAACGAAGACAACAACAGTTTAATAGATCAAATAGAGTAATATGTCGAAGTAATTCCCAAAGACGCGTTCGATCTATTAATAACCAAGGCATGCTTAGTCAAATTGCAATCCTTCTTAAGCAAATTATAGATAACAACCCTATGTTGGAGCAATTTTTTAATGGGTTTTCTTTCCCTTAAACTCTGGGAAATCAATTTATTTTAGTAAGAAGAGCTTCTGTAAATAAATGCACGAATTTGATGAACTTTTCGCTTTGCAAAAATTAAGTTAATTTTTTAATTTTTTTATAGATTCTAAATATTTTCAAAGTTTCTTACAAAATTTATTATAAGTATATAGATATTCACAATACACGCGATCTAGTAAATAACTTCCGTTTTTAATGGCATTAAAAGTCGTATTTGATTTATTTTATACTTAAATATATATATTAACCTTAATGACAAAAATGGTTAATTTCTTCATAATATAAAAGAAATTTTTTAAGAAGTATATTTTTTTATTACATTAACAAATAAACTAAAAATTCAGCGCTTTAAACACAAAAATGCTGCATAAATATATTAAATTTCGATGTCTATAAAAATTAGAAATATGTGATTCATAACGACTTTTTTTCACAAAAGCGATTCAATTAATAGATAAAAACGTTCGATTGAAAGGACGTTTGCTGACGTGCTCAATTAATTATCCAATTTCAAGTACTGGCGTGGGAAATAGTATATAAAAGTTTGATCAAATGATATAAAAAACAAAGGAAATATATTCTGATAAATTTAATTTAGTATACGAAGTGCTTTAATGTCGAGTCGGGTTTGATAACCCGGTCGATTCGAGCAACTATACAGAATATTTTTATTTAGATCTTAAAGATAGAAATTAAAAGTTTAGGTAGGGTAATTGATAAATTATTATTTTATCGTAATCTGATAAACTGTGAATCAATAGTAATCAGACATGTGTAACATAAGAATGATAGATTCGTCAATTTTTAATTGGTGGTTTAAAAAAAAAGATAGTTTGTATAATAAATATATTTTTAATTCATGTAAAAAAAAGTTTTGATAAATAAAAATTTTTTAGGTAAATATATAAAAATTTAAAATCAATAAATAATTAATAATAATAATAAATAAAGGAAGGAATCTTTTATTAGAATATTTTGAAAGAATTTGTATGAAATTATTTATTGATAATCAATATGCATGCGTTAGCGAAAAGAAAGAACAACCAAGCTTGTGTAAATAAATCAGATTTTTCTAATACAACGATTTCTATTTAATTTGATATTCTCAAAACTCATGTTTTTGTCACAAATGGTCGCAAAATTACACATTGCATAATGGAATATGCAAATAAATGGACATAATTAAATTAAAGATAACGTTGATAAAGTTTGCGTTTTAGTTTTT